AGGGAAATTAGCAGGGGCCTACTCCAGCTGTAAACTGGAAACAGTGTCCATGTCCTCTCAGGGCCATGTGAGGCCCAAGGTGGGAATTCAGTATGGAAAGTGCAATTTAAAGCTTCACACGAAAGCACTTGAGTATGCGAGGAGTTATTTCTGACCAGAGTCCTCATTTCGCAGTGTGACCAAAACCAAGGAGTGTAATGAACAATCAGGCTCTCGGGGAATAAAGGCAGGCTGTAGACAATCTGTCCGTTTCTGCATCAAAATTGGAGTGAATGTTTGTATATACCTACAAGTTAATAGAAATGACTTCTACTTGCTGGGCTAACCCAAAATTGTCTTAAAATTCTTTTTTTGTTTTTTACTTGAAACCCCATTTTAAATCTTGCCAGCCTCAATTCAAAAATCACTCTGAGAATTGATGGCGATCTGTTGAAGTGGCAAATCCTTTCATTTGTATTAAAAAGAAAATATCCAAAAAGAGGGAAACAGCCTTGGCGTTTTCTGGCATTAATGAAATAACGTCCCTCTGATGAATTATTTTCAAAGAAACACTTTCTTATTTACTGCGTGGTGTAAAATGTGCTAAATGTGTTCTTACATTATTATGTCACTGCTGAAAGTTATTTGCACTATAATAAAGGAATTTTCTACAAAGTGGCTTCCAGTTGATCACGTGCTAAATTTGGCTCCAGTTGTGATATACTGACCATTGATGTGAATAGCAGCGTTCCCTCAGTTTCACACTCATACTCCAAGACCATGTGTTTCTGTATGTCCCACATTGACAAACTGATTGATCGAGGAAGGAAATTGTCTCAGGGTCTCAGAGACCTAATGAGTTTATGTTGTGTAGGCAAGGGATTCTTTTTCTTTCTTTTTTTATGATATATTTTTATTGATTTCAGAGAGGAAAGGAGAGGAAGAGAGAAATGGAAACATCAATGAAGAGAGAGTCATCTATTGGCTGCCTCCTGCACATCCCCTACTGGGGATTGAACCCACAACCCAGGCATATGCCCTGACTAGGAATCAAACCGTAACCTGCTGGCTGATAGGTCGAAGCTCAACCACTGAGCCATGCAGGCTGGGCGGATTCTTCTTAAATATAATTTACATTCAGTAAATTAACTGTTTGGGGTGGGGTACAGTTCTATGAGTTTTAACACATGCATCGGTTCATGCAGTTAACCACCTCAAACAGAATACAGAATTGTTCCATCACCCCCCAAAATTCCCTTGTGCTATATCTTAGTAGTAAAACTTGTCCCCTACTCCTAACCCTGATTAGACAACCACTGATTCATTCCCCCTTCCTTTAGTTTTGCCTTTTCCTGGATGTCATAAGAGGATCCTACGGTATGTGTAATCTTTTGAGGTTACATACTTTTCCATTAGCATAATGCATTTGAGATTCATGTTTTGTGTATCAATGGTTTTTCTTTGTTATTACGGAGTCGCATTCCATTGTATAGGTTTACCAGTTTTTTAAACCTCTTACCTGTTAAGGATACAGTGGGTTCTTAATAAATCGTAAAATGCAGTCTTAGCACAGTATATGCAAAAGCAAGACTGCATTTCGCTTGTCCTCTCCTGTGGTTTGAATGATTGTGAAGGAAAGAATCTCTTGACTGTTCTACCTACAAGTGAAATATGGCTTGGAGAAGTTTGCCTGGCTTCAGTTATGGGTGGTGAGCAGAGAGATACTAGTATTTACATGTGGGATCTAGGATCCTGTTTTTTCCTTAATTAGTTTTATTAATCCCT